GKWWTYYTTTTTTTTCTACTGACTCGGCTCCTACTGATGGCAAACACTGCTGGATCACAGGATGGGGACGTCTTTCATCAGGAGCGGGGGCATCACCRGATTACCTTCATCAAGTTTCTGTCCCAATTGCTAGCCGTGCTCGTTGTGACAAAGCYTACCCAAATAGGATCCACGATTCTATTATTTGTGCTGGTATTGACCAGGGTGGTATTGGTTCATCTTCATGGGGCTACCAGCTGGGTGCGCGGATCCTGGTGAATTTGGTGTCAATGCTAAGRTCAAGTTCCTTCTTAACTGGGTGAAGACAGCGATCACAAATAAATAATGTAATATTGCTCTTCATACACCCGTTTTTGATGTAATCGTAAAACTGTAATAAGAGGAAATACATAATCATTAACAATTTGGCATTTTGGCGGGAAAATGGCGTCATCAATTTTTGCTGAAAATTGAAACACACCGGAAAATTCTAACTAGCGCATTTGAAAGAACTGCGCATGAGTAGTTCAAAAATGCAAAACTTGTTCCTTTCTGATATGGGAACCAGAAGATATGWTTTTTTGAATATTCCTAAGCCGCCATTTTGTTTCTAAAAATAGTAACTATATGATAGTCAAAATGAGACGTTTTTTAGCCCTTCTAGCCCGACGTGCTCTGCTTTTCCTTAAAAAGCAGCACGAGAATCGAGAGTYGAATATATAGAATATATAATGTAGTGGTAGGGTGTGTGAGTTACAGTGGGACAATTTAGAAACCAATTTACACAAACTGAATTTGTATCCCACTATGTAGAAAGTGATTTTTTGTTTGTCAGATATTTTTTTTAATTAGTAAAAAACAATTACCATAGTTTTTCATTAATACAACTAATGAGAGATAGCTACATTTATTTATTTATTATTTATTATCTTTTCCCCATTAGGGCAGGGACACCACAACAGCTTTTATACTTATCACAGTGGAACTGTAGAGTTTTTAGCACGGGCACTGAAGATGGTCGTCACCAGCGTCTTCAGTGGATCTTTTACGTCCACCTTATACAGGGTTATATAGTAAAGACAGACGGGGCCTACGGTTTTAAGTCCTTGTCCGAGAAGACTTGAAGGTCTAACCATTTGCAAAGGCAGTTACAAAGGCAGCAGCTTCTCCTCCTATTTTAATATCCTGAGTGTTGGTCCGGTCTTGGCTTGAACCACGACCTCCCGCATAACAGACCGACGCTCTTACCAACTGAGCTAA